CGAGTCGGGCGATCGGCCCGATCGGCCGATCCCATCCGTAGTGGGCACCCCGTATTATGTTGATGATAAGTTCAGAAAGTCGCCCACCGCACACACACACAGGCATGTAGAAGATCTGCAACATTTCTGACTCACCACCTAAATATGCTCGCTGGGAAACGGCTTGTTTTCCTCGCTGGCATTTCAATTTAGCGGGGTTCACGAGACGAGCTCAAATCACAGAAATATCTATATAAAACAAGATAAATAAATAAATACAAAATAGTTTTCATAACTTCCTTTTGCCCGAATGTCTGAGGGAAGAGAAGCGTATCAACACAATAATGACCATTCGGTCCTAGGGACAAGCAAAATAGACAAAAAGAAACACTCGGGGAAATTAAAGAAATAGGACCTACCAGTGGCGGTCCCGCCATCTCGTGTTTCATTTTGGATTGTTGTTGTTGTTGTTGTTGTTGTTGTTGTTGTTGTTGTTGTTGTTGTTGTTTTTAAATAAATGCTCGAAAAACTACAAAAACTGCAGATCTACGAAACGTTATCTTTTTAAAAAAAATGGAAATTGAATAAAGGTTCCACTCCTGCGTCAAATATCAAATTGTAAACTACTGCTACAACAAACAAAAACAACAACAACAAAAACCACTTTAAAAAACCCACAAAAAAACACCAACAACCTAGCATTCTTTTAACAGAACAAAAGGCTGCTACGCTCTTTTTGTGTTAGAGAATAGGATGTGAGCTCTATAAACCTGTGAGCTCAACTTTTTTTTTTTAGACTTTCTGGCTTGGAAGATGAACACAAGGACATGTCTTTTACATGCAAATATGAAAACCTTTAAAAATGACACAACAGACGCCGGCTCCAACATATTATGTCCAGAAGGATGTTAAAAGCGAACAACAACGAAACAATACTAACCTTTATTCAGACACTCCGCGACGGATTAAACCTGAATCTACCAGTCCTCTGAGACAAACGGCAAATTCACAATGTCCGACCTTCCAGACCTGGAAGTTTATTTGAAACTGAGCTTTCGCTAGGGAACTTTTCTGTATATTTGTAAAACTGAATGCGAAACGTAACACACCCTAAACGGAAAAATGTTGATGTAAAGCACTGACGCATTTTGAGCCTGATATAGAATCTATATTGCATCCGCCACCTTGAACTACCGTGGGCCGTAAATATAATGCTACTGAGAAGGGTAATATTCAACCCCCCAAAATATATTAAGTAATTCCTATTCATAGATTGGCCCTTAGTGCGCCTTTTATCTAGTACAAACAAGCCTTTTACCTAATAACGTGAAGCAAGAATGGTTTCAGAACTGCCGGTACGTCATAGCCCCTGAAATCTAACGGTGTGTATAACTTGATTTTTAGTTTTTAGTTTTAGTAAGAGTTTTACGGCACTTGCAACACAAATAGGTCATACGAGTGCTGAAGATTAGAGGTGTTTCTTGCCAGAAACATACAAATAAAAAAAGAAGGACAGAGATAAGGGCGATAGCTGTTTGATAGGAAAGAAAGAGCAAACCAAATCAGATCACCCGCCAACCATCCACATATACCTCCATAATATGGTAGGGTGTACATTATCAATTTACTTCAATACAATTCAAAATTAATGAAGCCTGTCGCAATCGCTCAGTGTAGCAATCAACGCATGTTCACACGTCATACATGATAGTCTACCCAGAAAGAAACCCCAAACACATTTCGGAAATTTCCAACAACCCATGCAACAACTACGATGCCAGAAAAGTTTTGCTCCGATGACACTGAATGCGCGACTCATTTTCCATTCACTGAGGACATGCGTTCTGGTCGTTCGACAACACAGGACAAAGCGCTGGTTTGGGGCACGTACAAAATGAGCCTCGCATAACTGCGTTATTCGTATTTTTTTTTATTTCAATTTTGTTTGTGTGTGGTTTCTTTTTTAAAATCTGAAACGTAACGGGGCAACAAGCAACAACTTGCATACATATTGTACTATTAAATGTGCAACTATCTGTCTATAACTTGTGTATAATGTTGTATTATATAATAGCTCGAAAAGTGCAGCAACATTGTCTTTGGCCTGTTTCTGTTCATTCAGATGCATGTATGTGTCTGCCGATCGCACTAAAAGAATTAAGGTTTGGATTTCAGTCGCTTGGTCGGTAAAGGCTTAACAGTTCACAGGGCTGACTGAGACAGAGGCCAAACTGAAACAACAGTCATGATAACTTCATGAGTCATCCCACTAATCTCTCTCTCTCTCTCTCTCTCTCTCTCTCTCTCTCTCTCTCTCTCTCTCTCTCTCTCTCTCTCTCTCTCTCTCTCTCTCTCTTCTCTCAGTATGCTCGAACTGAGACGAGTTTTAGTAGTGTAGTAGCAATCCAATCATTGTCTTATAATGACGCACATTAC